TTCTTGTCTAGCCTGTCCATTGTGCCTTCAATCCAGTCAGTACCAAAATCGACAGATTTCACATGTAAAATCTCTCTCTCCTCTGCCCCTTCCTTTTATTTATTTATTTGGCTGTGCCGGGTCTTAGTTGCAGCATGAGGTATCTTTGTTGCCGTGTGTAGGATCTTCATTGCAGCATGCGGGATCTTTAGTTACGGCATGTGAACTCTTAGTTGTGGCATGGGGGATCTAGTTCCCTGACCAGGTATCAATCCTGGGCCCCCTGCATTGGGAGCATGGAGTCTTAGCCACTGGACCACCAGGGAAGTCCCTGCTCCTTCCTTTTATATCCCAAAGCTACTACTCGAATTTTGGCCCCGTGATCTTTCTTGATACTCTCCTAGAAGATTTCCTAACGCCCATGTTAGATGCTGCTATCAGATTAGCATTTCCCAAACCCAGAACTGATGAATTTCTTTTCTCCAAAGTGTTCGGTGGTTCTTTTCTATCTATTGGTTTAAGCACACAATTCCTGGTCTTTGTGAACCACCACAATCAGGCCCAGATGCCTTCTCTCATCTCACTGCCTTCTCTCTGTCCTTGACCATGTGATGACCTCCCAACTATTTAATTGGGTCCAGAGTTTCCCAGCTTTGCAACTTCATCCTCCTGGTTCCTGTTTTCCTGAAGGCCTTTCTCCCTCCGCCTGTTGAATCCCATTCATTCTGCGAGCTATGCCTTTTATTCAAGGTCTATGTGTTGCTGATTCATGCCCTTCACTACTGCATAGAACCTGGGCCTGTCACTGCACATTCCTGGTATAGTTCCTTCCAGAATGCCTGCTACGTAGCTACTCATTAAATATCAGTTATATTGAATGGAAAATAAATGTAATGAATGTTACAAGCTTCCAAGTTTCTCCAAAATCCCTGAAAGAAGTTCTAAACTTTGTAGGAAATATTTTACAGGAAAGGGGTGAGTTGCTCATTAGAACATTTCCTTGCTTTATGTCCCTGATCCATAAGAGGAAAAATATGTCCTCTTGAATCTCAAATATCTGGACATTCACCTCTCAATAAATCATGGTCTCTGGCATATTTTCCAGTGCAAGTTTACATTTTATTTCCATGTCACTTTGCCTAAAATGGTCACAGATTTTAGCTCCAATTTTCACCTCTGCATATTCCCTTTGCTAGCTTAAAAAACCCTCAAAATTGAGAACCTGGACACAATTCCTATCTTAAGAGGTACAGTAAATAGTAAAATATTAACCCCAAAGAAGTGGTGCAACAAAAGGTCTCCTAATCTTTACTGAAAGTATTAAATTTTTGTAAATGTTAGGTCTTAAAGTCATGTCATTAGTTCATGGGATTGAGGATGTTTCCATTTTACAGGAAAACTAAGAATTTAACGCTGAAATCTAGACAGTTGCCATGCTATTTCTTAGAACTCATAAATTGGGTGCTAAAATGGTCTTGTCTTCCTCTGTTTTTATTTTATTCCTGACCTAGGCAGTTGGTTCATTATGAATAATGAATTTGGCATAGGAAAAGAGTTGTTTGGCTAAAAGCAATAATATTTTTTAAAATTTGGAAACCAGGATATGAAAGGTTAGCAAGTCACTGTATGCGTTTTGAATTTACGAAGCAATGGAATCGGATTTCAGATTAATATATCTTTGTCTTTTCTCTGCGGTTTATAGTGACTTAGTATATACTGCAGCCAAATGCTGTTGAAATCGTTTGTAACTTTAGGTAAAGGAATATGCTTAACAAAAGAAGTTTCATGAACCAAATAGCCCTGTCATTTTTACAAATGGAACCAATGTTCTTCACTAGGGTCAGAAACCAGTTAGACCACTTGGATGGATCTCAAAGGAATGATGCTGAGTGAAAAAGGCCATTTTCAAAAGGTGACAAACTACACGATTCCATTTAAATAACATTTGTGAAATAACAAAATTATAGATACGGAGATTAGTGGTTGCCAGGGGTTAGCAACTGGGAAGGAAGTGTGCGGAGGAGGTGGGTGTGGTGGTTACATGAAGCTTCACAGGTGATAAAGCTGCATAGAACCACACCCACACACAACCACACACAACCACACCCACACACAACCACACCCACACACAACCACACACAACCACACACACACAACCACACACACACACAACCACACCCCCACACAACCACCCCCACACCCACACACAACCACCCACACACAACCACCCACACACACACACACACACACAACCACACACACACACACGCACCTGCGCCAAAATCTGAGTGTACTACAGTTATGCAAGATGGTATCATTGGGAGAAAGGGTTGGGTGAAAAGTACATGCCACCTCCTGTACATTTTTGTTTTTGGCAACTTCCTGTGAACCTATGATTATTTCAAAATTAGAAGTTCTTTAAAAATCAGACATTTCCTTGTCACTTTAGAGAGCGGCCTATGAAGTCAGGTGGTAACATAAGCAAGCGAGGGGGCTGGGGATTGGGAGGGTGAGAACTGGCTGGTATCAAGGAGGCAGCTGCTACTAGGCTCCTAGCATGGTGGGACTGTGCACCTGGAATTGCTGAGTCTTCTGAGTGCTGTGTTTAGAAAATGCCAGAAATTGAAAATTCAAATCAGTATCTCTTGACTTTTGTTGACAATTAATTAATTCAAACTTTTTGGAACACTGTATGTAAGCCAAACTAAAGATACTGGAGGGCTGGATTCAGTCTTAACGATTCATGTGCAAACTCAGCTTCAGGCCAGAGGCTGAGTTTGGCCACCAGATGATTCGCCCACTCCACACACTGGTCATCTCAGTGTGCAGCTCAACGCTCCTCTGTGCTGCCTTACAGAAGACGGAGAAATGGGGAATCAGGCTGCTAATGAAAATGGCATGAGCCCCCAGTCACTGACACCCGGGACTCTGGAGAATGTGGGTTTGACTCTGGAATCCCCCTGCAGGCTCTGACCTAGACCTTCACACCCACCTCCTCAGCATGGTGCCTGGAGCAGGTGCTCAGCTTGCCTTTTTAGTGGTGTTCATTTGTTCTTTCCCGGCTGTCTTAGTTTTTATTTTTTTAAAGCTAAATGAATTCTACAAAAACTGAGAATATGACCCAGGATCTGGTATCCTATGCTCTGGTTTTCTGGAAGCGAATACAATAGCCTGGTGAACACATCTTATATGAGCAACACTCATAACTCCGTGTCTGTTTGAAGCTCTGAGCGTAAGCTAATTTTTTGCTCATTAGTGCAAATGAGCAGAGGGAGGTGCCGATAAGGTCGTTATTCTGGGTTTGGTCTTTGAAAGACTTTATCATCTCTGTCCTGCTAATGCCCAGAGTCTGGTCAACCCTTCTTCCCCAACTGCCAACCCGGACAGCTGACTCAGAAGAAGTGAGAAGGACGGGGCTAACTGCATACCCTCCAGCACAACCACATCTGTGAGTCAATAACCTCTCCCCCTCTCCACTCTCTGAAACATCATGTGCACTGATCAGACTCCCTCTGTGTTCTGTACAATCTCTAGTACATAGAGCATACCCAGTTCCTTTAGGAAGGAGGTGAGTAGAAAAACTCCAATTTTTAAAAATTGAAATTTTAGTTTAAATTAAAACATTTTTAGATCTTAAAATTTCATCTCTGGCCCAATTACACATTCTCAGAGTCAAATTTAAATTATTAATGATTCATTTGCATGATTTCTGTCCTCTTTTCCCCAAAAGTCTGCTATCAAGAGTCCACAGAATGTTTTCCAATCCTCATTTAAAAAAGAGTATTTGTAAGTATTACATAATTATAAATCAATAAAAGAGTCTTTTCCGGAATTCCCTGACGGTCCAGTGGTTAGGACTCGGCGCTTTCACTGCCAAGGGCCCAGGTTTGATCCCTGGTCGGGGAGCTAAGATCCCATAAGCCACGTGGCACAGCCAAAATGAAAAGAGTCTTTTCCTGTTTATCTTTTTTTTTTTTTACCAAGCTTTACAATATGCAGATTTTTAAAGGGTTGGTTCTCAGTCTCAGAAATTATGCTAATGAGGTAAGAACAATAATTCATAGTGTAGCCACTAATTTCTCTAAGGGGAAATATGCAGAGACCCTGAGCTCTACATTTGTTTTCAACTAATTATCATGTATTTACTTTTCCATTAGTCCAATAATTTTTCTTTCAATTCAGAATTAAGCAATAAGACCCTGAATTATATAAAGGCCTGTTTAGCATAACAGACACACCCCATCATTCCCCAGTCCCCTGATTTACAGCTCTTAAAATGCACAACCAAGAGGCTGTCTATATGCCCTTTCGTATTTAGATTCCATCATGCAGTCACCTCAATAACTTATGCATTCTCAGAAGGACTACCTAGCAATTAACTCCGATCTTTTCTAACTCACCATCTCATTATGTAAAGTGGATTGGAACACAAACTTTATTAGCAACTTTCAATTCTAATTCCTTCTTATCGCCCACACCCACACCCCTCCTAGTAATGTCAGTTTATATGAGCAAAATACTCTGGAAAACGGCAGTTAAAAAAAGTCCACATTGGACTGGCAGCACATTTCGTAATTGGTCTTTGCACTATGGGGTACCACCATAAATCGAGATTGCCGTATTTCAGCTAAAGCATGGGATGCAATTCTTTATAGAAATGGAAATGAATTCTCCCTGCCACACAACACAGCATTTTAACGATGTTCAGGAGGAATGGGCAAGTAAGAAAGCTATTATTTTTATGCTAAAGGTTAAAAAAAGTGCAAACCCCAAGATCTTTGTTAAAAGGTAAAGGAATTCATAGTATCGCTTCTTCAAATCCTAGAAAGAGGCGGGAAGATGCCTTGCAGAGTTCTCTTGTGCATATGAAGTGTGTCAGTGGAAGAGCTGAAATGTGGTTTAATGTACTTGTTTTCATGGTAAGGAGCCAGGGTGGGCTGATGAAACTAAAGGACAGGTAGCACCTGAAGATGTGTCAGATGTACAAACAGGGAGGCATCCCATCAGTGCAGCTGACTTACCGACATCGGGATCTACTGCTTGAACTCTGGTCAACAGAGCCTTGGTGGCTGTGTTCTCATAGACACAGGCGTTATAGTGGTCGGACGAAAACACTGGGGGGTTATCGTTCACATCCTCCAGGATCAGATGGACGTCAGACTGGCAGAACCTGCCACCCCCGTCGGTGGCCCTGGCGATGAGGCTGTATGCAGGGACCCTCTCCCGGTCCAACAGAGCCAAAGTTTTTAACTCACCTGTGAAAATAAATGACGTAGCTTTTCAAAAACTGTCTTTCTTTGAAGAGCAGAGAATCAATTATTGTACATACAGAATCCCCAGTGCAGGAAGGATCGCTGACATCTGGCTCCAGTGCGTCATGCTTTGAAAAATCGAGCAAGTTCAATTTTTTTAAGCATCAGGGAAAAAGTGATGGGATTCTGGACGCAACAAAAAACCAACTGTACGACCTTCAGATGAATTAATCCCACTGTGAAGCCTCTTGTTTCAGGGATTCCTTCTCTTGGCAGCATGGAGAAGCTCCACACCTCTTTAAACATCTCAAGAACTGCTCTGGAGATCGGCCTTGTTTCTGGATTTTCTCCAGAAAAAAAGCATGAAAAATGGACCAGTGTCCTTAGTTCTCTAACGGTCCATCAGGTCCATGATTTGTAAACTCAGAAGGGGCAGTCTGTCTCCTTCCAGATATTTAACATTTTTTTTTTACCCCATCTTTTAGAGAAAAACAGTCAAAACAGGCTGGCTTTAGCAGAAAGAGGTCATGAAGGCGAACCCCTACTGTGCCAGGCGAACCCCACTTGCTGGAGAGTGGTAGGGCCTGTGGCTGTTGGGGGAGGATTCCAGTGGGGGCTTATCTGAGAAGCTTAAAGCAGCAGCTCTTTGGCAACCAACATGGAGGGAGGTTATGTCTGTATTTTTTTTTGTTTGTTTTATGTCTGTATTTTAATCACTCAGATAGCTGTACTGGTCCTGAGTGTCAGCCCCTGTGGGGATTTTGTTATTCTTGCTACCTAAATTTTAATGGATGAGGGCAATAAGCACAATGACAGAGCTGAATAAATACTGTTTGGTGAAAAGTAGGACTCATGAAATATTATTATGTACTCTTAACAAAATCAGTAGAAGTCACTGGGACGAAGCCATCTATACTTATAAAGCTGTCCCTCCTATGGCTTCCTGACTGCAGCCAGTTCTCAAATCTAGCCTGGATCATTCTCCCCTGCTCCAAAACACCCAGGGGTTTTTCAGTTGGGCATTCAAGACCCTCCAAAATCTGACCTAAAGTTGTTTTTCCACCACTTTTCTCACGAGCCATTCTGCGGCTCCTCTGACCAGTGACAATGTTGTACACAGCTTTCCCTGGATGTGCCGTGCTCTCTGCCCACGCTGCCCCCGTGACCGGCAGTGTCCTGCTTTAGCTCCTAGAATCCTGGCTCATTTCAAATGCCAGCTCTGCTTTAAAAGTTTCTCCTTCCCTCTTATCAGAATATTAGCTACTTCTTCCTCTGTGCCCCGATATATCTCTCCTGATATCTCTCCCGGGCACTCATTCTGTCTTTCACTATTATTGTTGTTATTTCTGTTATTATTAGTATTGACTTACAGCTCTGTCTTCTCCACTGGGTTACAATATCCCTTGGGGATGCTTTGTTTGGTTCATCTTGGAATCGAACACAAATATCCCATAAAGTACTTTTAGGTCTAGTAGTTAATAAATGTTACCTATTCAATAAAAAATTGCCAGGCCTCTTTAGCCAAGTAGCATATTGTTATGTAGCTAAGCCCTTCCCAGTAAGAAGCACCGGACATGGGAGAGAGCTAGGGAGGAACTAATACCTCCTGGAGACTCAGAAATTAGTTGTTGTTCATTATGATGAACACAACACTGGAAATATGCAAATTATTCAATCTTTACACTTCATTGAAAAATTGTCAATGGATGGGCCATCCAATACACAACACGGAGATAATCTACCTCCATAGACAATGCCTTTTCCATTATCTATGGCCTTCAATGCGGGCATCTGCCTTTAGGGTACATAACCTTTCACCTTATAAATTTTACCTCAATATGTAAGCAAGTCTGAGGACTCATAGCTTTGGAGAAACTAGACAGGAATGATGAATAAAAACCAGACAAGGGCTTCCCAGGTGGCGCAGGGGTTGAGGGTCCGCCTGCTGATGCAGGGCACACGGGTTCGTGCCCCGATCCGGGAAGATCCTACATGCCGTGGAGCGGCTGGGCTTGTGAGCCATGGCCGCTGAGCCTGCGCGTCCGGAGCCTGTGCTCCACAACGGGAGAGGCCACAACAGTGAGAGGCCCGCGTACCGCAAAAAAACAAACAAACAGACAAGTATGTTAATAAGCATCCTTATGGATGTAAACCATAGGGATGTAAACATAGGGATGTTTCATCCCTATGGATGAAATCCCCAAAAGGGATTTCAACAGGGCAAAACTCTCCTTACTATGCACTGCTGTCTGGTTTGCATGGAAACTTGCATTTGTGATAGAATTCTATTTATACTATTTATAGGTCAGCTGCTTTAACTCATGGATATGAGAAAGAGGAGAAGCAAACAGACACATCCGATTACTTGGTGCTGCTAAATGTAGGTAAAGTCAGGGCAAGTCTTATAGGCCACGTGAGGTTTCTGTCCTCCAAACACCATGTGCTACTGGTATTTCTTAAGAGTCCAAGATAGCAGGGCATCATATCAAGGCTCTTGTATACTAACTACCCCCTAGTGATAAGACCATGTGAGAGTTTAACTTCTCTCGTGGATTAACAATGGCATTTACCCAAAGAATAAATTTCGCCTTACCACTTTGTGAATCTAGAAAAAATTCATTGTTTCCAGATCCATAGAGTGAGTATCGTATATCTCCATTGGATCCAATATCAGCATCCTTGGCACTGACCTTCAGGATGATTTTGTTTGATGGAATGTCTTCGGGAAATAATGCTGTATATGCAACCTAGGCAAAGGTAAAGAAAGGGAATTGAATCATTAGTGTTTGTGGGGCAATTGTCATATTTAGCATTATAAATGATTTCTTTAAAAATGCATTCGCATAATTTATCTTCAGCTATGTTTTTCCTTTACCACAGAATCATCTTATACCATATGATGAAACAGAGAATATCTCTTGCTTTGCGCCTCCCATGCTCGTCATCAACAACTACTGATTGGGCACCTACTGTGTGCTAGGTACCACTGAGATGCTAGAAGTACAACGGAGAAGAAAACAGACAAAAGTCCACCCCTGTGGAACCATGACGCACATCACATATTGATCATGCCCCTCTCAGTCCTTGGGACCCTTCCACTCTTTAAAGAGCCACTACTAACATCTGGCATTAGTATGAGAGACTAAATCTATTTGCAACACTTTTCTGAGCTAAAGAGCACCAATACTGTCTCTCAATCCACATGTAAGGAAAAGGTAAATGAAGGGTGATTTAACTTTGGTAAGAAAGGAAATAAAATCAATTACTGGCACCTTGCATTCGCTGTCACGCTTTGAACTGTGGTGGAAAGGCCACTTCATAAGGGGTCTGGAGAGTCAGCTTCATTACCAATGTTGCTACCAACCAGCTGTGTAACCTTATACAAAAAAAGTAATTCATACTTCTGAGTGGTCCATTCTTCTTTTATGAAATAGGTGATTCAGACAGAAAAATTCATAGTGTCCTTTATGAGTCCTTAAAAATTATTTAATTTTGAGACTCCTGGTTTTATTTTTCTGTTTGTTTGATTTTTTTGGTGGGCAGAATTAGGTACTGATCGTGCTAACTATACTCTTTTCATGTTTATAATATTTCATCCTAGAGTTTGCCTCTTACCCTCTTATAACCATTTGGAGCTCGTTAATTAGGGAGATAAGATGAGAAAGCAGCCTGGCCTTAAGGAGAAAAGTGAAATGGGTTTTGACTTAATTTTAGATAAGCAGAGTAAAAAGCAGTGATATATCCGACACAGCCACAAATCTCACCTGATCACACACTGGGCTGTTGTCATTCACATCACTGACAGTCACTTCCACCATGGCCTGAGTGACAAAGAGCCCATCAGTGGCAGTGATATTGAGGAAGTAGATGTCTTGTTCTTCTCTATCCAGAGGTCTCTTCACGTAGACCTTCCATTCGCTCTGCACCAGGCCCAGGGCAAACCTTCCTCGGGGGTTCCCTCCTGTGGTGAAAAAAGAGTTTTTGAAGATGTGAAATGAAAAGCTTTGATCTCCACCTACAGCAAGAGGCCTGTGCGGGGTCATCCAGGTGCCTCTCAAACTGCATCGTTTACGATGCTGAAAAAAAATGGACACTCACTTCCTTTTGACTCTCCTGCAACAAAGCACGATATTTATATGCTTGGCTTGTGTGGAAAGTAAAACAGTAACTTTCCAAGAGAAGAAAATGCACTTAGAGAAGCTGGAGATGATCTCTTGTTTAGCTCCCCTTAAGGACAATCAAATTCAAACTGTGAACAATCGATCTTCTTATTGGGCTGATACAACTGTCTTTCCACTTCGTCTCAAGAGAGGATGTAATACACTATAGCTCTTGTTACCAAGACAATTTCATTAGCCGATGATCATGCAATCAAGGAAAGGCAGTCAGTTCTATTAAGGAATCTTAATGAAGCCTTTATCATACCGCAGCTCTTCTTATAAGGACTGAAGTTTGGGGAAGAAAAGTTTGTGTGACAGAGGAAGACCCATTAGGATTAAATAGCCCCAATGCAGGGTCATTGAAGGAGCCGTTCAAAGATAAGCACTGCAATTAGATCAAATTTAACACAGTGAAGCTGGTGAAAATGGAAGAAACACGTAGAAAAGCTGGAGTGGAACCGCTCTTGATGAGGCTGAAACAATGAATGTAGTCCCAGCAATATGACTTTCCCACATCACTGAATTACAGGGAGACAAAAGCAGCTTGGAGGAAGGAAGAAGAAAACCACCTGGACCTTCCAGACCTGAAGGGGGAAATAATGTCACTTCAAACACGGAGGAAGACTGGACGAGACAACTGGCAAGAAGTCCGGAATCCAGTTAGGTCATCGCCGTCTCGTTTGTTTGGGCATTCACACGTATTTGTCACCTGCTCTGGGCCAGGCACTGTGCCAGGCAGTGGGGCTACAGCAGTGGCCAAAAGTGACCAAAATCCCTGCTCTTGTGGTGGAGCTCACTTTCTGATGGGAAAGACTGACAATAAACAAATAAATAAGGAAAGCCTACTGCCTGCTGGCTGCTGCTTCACTGAAAAAGGGGAGCCACCTCATCTTCTTACAATGAATCTGTAAAAGAATAGAGGGCAAACCCATGGTCCTGCCGGAGGGACTGAGTGAGAAGCAGTGGAACCTTGAGCGCCAGACTGTACTCTGGATATAAGGCATGGGGGGTGGGGGGGACGGGCATCCAGGGGCTCAGCAGTGTGGAACAACTGTAACCAAGCAGGACCCTATGAGGCCTTCCTACAATAGACCTCCACCTGCCTTTTGTCTGTAGGAAAACTTTAACCAAAGAATAAATTCAATCAGAGAAGTGAGAAAATGCAGAAAGAAAGGAAAACAGTCAAGCAAGACAAAATAATAATACTTTAGCCATTAAACAAAGTCAAGGCCTTTATTCTTCCTCAAGGGCTATAGGTAATATTCTGAGCCATGTCCTTTGAGCTGTTTTGCAGATACTGAATCCTCCACCAGGTAGAAGAATTTAACTGTGTGCTGCCCACAAGCACGTAGACCCCAGACCGGTTGGAACCAGGAGGTTGATGAAGCTGACTCCCCATTACCTCACCACCAGCCAATCAGAATGTCTGTGAGCTGATCACGCCCTGCTCCTTGAACACTAGACGACTCTTCATTACCCTCTCCAGGGTGGGACACACAGTCTTGAGGGTATGAACCTGCTGTGGCCCCCTTTGCCTGGCAAAGCAATAAAGCGATTTCTTTCTACTTCACCCCAAACTCTTGTCTCCAAGATTTAATCTGGCACCGGTGCACAGAGGCCAAACTTTGGCAAAACAATGACAGGATAAATGGACCGTACTGGGCAGATAGTGCAGAGAAGGTGAGGGCTGCACATTCCTCTAGGGCAGTGGTTCTCAACTCAACTGACAGTGGCTGTGCGCAAACCCCTGGGACATTTGTCAGCGAGAGACATTTCTGAATGTCACATCAGGGGTGATGCTGGTGGTGGTGCTACTGGAATCTAGTGGAAAGAAACCAGAGGTGCTGGTAATCATCCTACAATGCCACAAAAGAGACTTACCCAGCCCTCTGTGCCAGTAATGTTGAGGCTGAGAAACATGCTCTGGTGAGGCACGGGGTCCTCCCTGGAAAATCACTTTCCTCTACCACGGGCTACGATGCAATTTTACTTCAGTTGAATATGATTTCAGCATGCACAAATGTAACCTCTCTATCAAATGCTTCTGGTGCAGGCCCACACTGCTCTTTTGCGAAATAAAATGATTAATCGCCCTTTGTTCATCAGTGGCAGGTCAGCCAAGTTGTGTGACATCAAGAGCAAAAGTTAAAGCTAATAAAAAGCCGTTGGTGGTTGGCACGGCTAATAGCAGCAGTAGCTTGAAGCTACTCTGTTCTCATTACTTTGGTAAAGTTAGTGGGATGGTCCCTTCAACCATCCACTGAGAATTCAGAGACGATGTGTAAATAATTAAAGCTGAGTATTTAACCATTCTTCCAAATAGAAAAGTATCCTCAGAATGCCTAAGAAGGGTTTCCCTGGTGGCGCAGTGGTTAAGAATTTGCCTGCCAATGCAGGGAACACGGGTTCGAGCCCTGGTCCGGGAAGATCCCACATGCCGCGGAAACTAAGCCTGCGCGCCACAACTACTGAGCCTGCGCTCTAGAGCCCGCGAGCCACAACTACTGGAGCCCGCATGCCTAGAGCCCGTGCTCCACAACAAGAGAAGCCACCACAATGAGAAACGCGCGCTTTGCAATGAAGAGTAGCCCCCGCTCGCCACAACTAGAGAAAGCCTGTGCGCAGCCAAAAATAAATAAAAATTTTTAAAAAACTTAAAAAAAAAAAGAATGCCTAAGAAGCTTTTTGTCTGAAACTGAATGCAAATGAATCAGTTGTTGCTTTACTCACCTTTCTTTCCTTACCACTATCACTCATGTCTTTACTGCAGAAATATACATTTCAATGAAAAAAAAACCCACAATGAACGGTATCAGACAAAGCACAAATGCATTAAGACCTTTAAACAGAAAACAGCACCGAGAAAACCGTTCCATAAAGAAAAAGAGTAGTGCTGTGGAGGGGAGGTGTGGTGGTCCCGAGCAATGACACATACGCTCTTCTGTGGATCTTATTCTGCAGTGATTAATTAACTTTCCCACTAACATACTTAAGCAGATTCTGTGCCCTGAGGGCACTCTAATTAATTCATTCTTCTCTTTGAATAATGTAGTTTTTCTAAAGGGAGGCCACCTGACTACAAGTACGGATGGATTCTTTAAAATCTTTTGGCACTTTGCTTATGTTCTGCCTTTGAATGTCATGACATCAAAATATTAGCTTTAAAACCCCCAAATGGTTTTTAGGAAGACTGCTCCCATACCACCAACCCTCTCCTCTTTGCAGTTTAAGGCCAGTCACCCCCAGAAAGCTCTTGCTGATCAGTGACACCTCTTCTTCACTCTGACATGAGATCCTCTGCCCCTTAGAGTAATGGTGATGCTTTTTGGGCACTCTGGGTGACCTCATTTGTCTACCTTGGCTTTCCTATTGCACTGCTATCTACTATCTGGAAAGACAGAAAAGGGATCCAAGAAAATTGTGATGTCAGAAGACATACCCTTTGACTTGGAGTTATAATTGAACATTTTTCAGCAAAAGGTCAAACCATGCCCTTTGATTTGTATATGTGTGTGTTGTGTGCGTGCACGCATCTGAGTTTTTACTACCAGGAAAGACTTGTAAGTAAAGCTATTTATTTTTCTTACTGCTACAGAAAGTAGGAGAAAGGCATATACTTAAAAAAAAAAAAACATTCTCCTGCCCCCAATCAAAAAGAGCTGTTATTTTCATTTCTTCCACTGAGATATTTGGCTGGACTCTTTTTTAAATGATAAAAATTGACTCAAGGACTGAGTACCAATCTGGGTAATCTGTCATAGGCAAAACAATGAACTCCAAACTAAGGCTGAGTTAGTAACAACTAAAGAACTGACGCTACTCAGATATTTTCCTCAGCCCCAGAGAGGTAAGATAACTTTTCAAACCCTCATCTCATCTTCCTTCTTCTCTCCTACTCTTACCCCTCTGCCACCTTCCATCTTTCTTTAGAAAGCAGAGCACATAGTGAAAACCAAGGGTGACAGACTTACCTGTAATATGATAGCTCACTTGTCGATTGATGTCAGAAGAGTCTCTGTCCCATGTGCTGAGGACAGCTACCACCTCGCCCGGAGGGTCGCTCTCCTTCACGTTCCCTCGGTACACCTCGTGGGCAAAGACCGGAGCGTTGTCATTTATATCCGTCACCCTGACAGAGACCAATGCTGTGGAAGAAAGAGAGAAGGCCTCCCCGAGGTCGGAGGCCACCACGGAGAAGGTGAACGTGGGGTCTGTCTCGTGATCCAGGTCTCTCAAGGTACTGATCCAGCCTGTGTTGCTGTCAATGTTGAACGCTTGCATCACCTTTTCAGGTTGGGAATCTGAGTGGAGGGAGTAGGTGACCTGCCCGTTGGCTCCCCAGTCCATATCGATGGCTCTCACCTGCGTGAGTTTGGTGCCCACAGGCATCCCTTCCATGATGATCGTCTCATAGCTTGAAGTTTCAAAGACTGGCTTGTTGTCATTCATATCCAGTACCTTGATGTCTACATCCACCGTGAACACAAGGTCTACCTTGTCCAGTGGTATAGTGGCTGCTACTTTGAAGTGGAAAGCTGGGCTGATCTCATGGTCAAGACGTTTGTCCAGCTTGATGGTGCCTGTGTCCTGTTCTATGATGAAGACAGCTCCTTTGTTATTTTCCAGCCGCTCCCCATTAACTGTGCTGAACTTGACTTTCTGATTGGGCAAAATCCTCAGGGTGTCCACCGTGCTCCCAATGGCTGTATCTTCTGAAATGGTGAAGGAATACTGAGACTGGGTGAAGGACGGCAAAAATGTTTCAGGGGGTAAAACGTGGATGTAGACGGGGATGAGGGAGTGCTTCACCGGAATGCCCCCATCCACTGCTTTGACAAAGAAGGACAGCACTGTGTTTTTCAGCTGGTTAAAATGGCCTTTTGTGACCATCCAGCCATTGTCAGGATCGATTTCTAGGAGGTCAGCCACCGAGACCGAGGCCTCGCTATAGAGGGAATAAGTAATCCTTGCATTCGCTCCATCGTCTGGATCCATGGCTTGAACCTGAGTGACCAGGTGACCCCGTCCGACATCTGCCCTGACGCTGGCTCTGTATTCCACCGTCGTGAACTGGGGGGCATTGTCATTTTCATCCACCACAATCACCCTCACGGTGCAGAAAGTTGTTCTCCCTCCGCCATCAAGGGCCCTCAGAAAAATACTGATGTCTCCTTCCAGAGGGTTTTCCCGGTCGAGCCTTTCTGTTGTGATGACCTGTCCATTGCCATCTATGAGGAATCGATCCTTAGCAAAGTCATTGATGATGGTGTAGCTGACCTGCCCATATGTCCCTGGATCCCCATCCGTGGCTCGAACGTGAATCACCTTTGTCCCAGCGGCCGTGTTCTCTCTCACCTCAGCTACGTAGGTGCTTTGAGAAAAGGCAGGGCTGTACAGGTTGGCCCCGAGGACCCTGATATGCACCTGGGCAGTGCTAGTGAACAGCCCATCAGAGACGGACACATTGAGACTGTACAGAGGCTCCATCCGCTGCTTCCGGTGGTTGGAGAGCGTGATGACGCCACTCTTGCTGTCCATCAGAAAGCTCGTCCGGTCATTCCCAGATAAAATGCTGTATTCCAGCCTGTCAAAATCAGAGCTGTCTGCATCGGAGGCTTGCACACAAGTTACAAAATGGCCCCGGGGGGCTAATTCACTCACATATGACTCATAAATGAGCTGATTAAAGACTGGAGGGTTGTCATTCACGTCCGAGATGTAGATATGAACCAGGACCTCGCTGCTCAGTGATGGGAAGCCATTATCTGTGGCTCTGACTTTCAAAGTGCAGTGCTGCACTAACTCATGGTCCAGCATCCGCGCTGTCAGGATTAAGCCACTTGCGCTGTCTATGTGAAAATAATCTGTGCTGTTGTAAGTATCCTGGACAATCTGATAATGGACCATTTTATTGTTTTCTGAGTCTGCATCCGTAGAGACAACTTGTAAAACAGGTGTCCCAATGAGAGAAGCTTCTGATAACGTTGTATTGTACGTGGGTTGATCAAAAATAGGGGGGTTGTCATTGACATCATTAAGGAGCAAGTCAATGGTGACTTCAGCCCTGGCCCCAGTAAGGGCATCACTGGCTCTTACTGTCAACTTGTAAACAGATGTAATTTCATAATCCAAAGGGCTAACGACTTTCAGGACCCCAGTGTCAAAGTCGATGTTAAATTGTTTATAAAGGTCCCCATCAATAATGATGTATATGATGCCTTGGCCTTCCGGGCTGGTGGCGTTGATGCTTAGAATGGGGGTGTTGACGCTGATGTCTTCGTTGATGGACGCTGTATAAAAAGGCTTATCAAACACAGGCATTGCTTTGTTGACAATAGTGATGGGAAGTTCCACGGATGTGGACAAAGAGGGTTTTCCACCATCTCTGGCTAGGATGGTGACTCCATACTCAATGTTGGACAAGTCAGAGTTGAAAGCTTCTTTTAAAACAACTTTCCCTGAATTAGGGTTAATTTCAAAGTGGCCATAGTCATCCTGTAAGAGGTAGGTCACTTCTCCATTTGCACCTTTGTCTTTGTCAATGGCTGTCACTCGGTAAATCAGGGTGCCAGGCTCAGCATCAACTTGCACAGCAGCATAGTAAGGGAGGCCCACGAAGACTGGAGAATTGTCATTTATGTCTTCGATATTGACCCTGACCACCACCCTTGCCACCCGCAGATGGTCTAGCTCTCGGCTGGCTTCCACAACCAGCTCATATAACTCTTGTTCTTCACGGTCGAAGGGGACTCCGGTGGTCTGAATGACCCCTGAGGTAGATTTTATCTTGAACTTATTTCCTGGGTTTAAGATGCTGTACTTTAAGGGCTCATTAAGGCGATTTCCCACTGCATTGACAATAGCAACTTTGGTTACGTTCGTGTTGTTCTCTGAGATGGAGGTGGAGTAAAAGCTTTGTGTAAAGTGGAGGCCGCTGTCCATGGCTTCTTTAACCAAGATGGTGACCATGGAAGTACTGTAGAACTTTCCATCAGACACCTTAACTATCAGCATGTAGTGATCTTTGGAGAGGCTGTTGTTTTTAATAGTGAGCACTCCACTATTTGAGTCAATTAAAAAATGATCCAAGCTACCTTCCATTAGGCTGTACGTCAGTTCTGGGGGCACCTCGGAGTCAGGATCCGTGGCACTAACTTTCAGAACCTCCACTCCGACATAGGTAGGTAGAAGTAAGACAGTCTCAAACACGGCCTGAGTGAACACAGGTGGGTTGTCATTCACATCTGTCACTTCTATGTTGACTTCAACGGGACTCTCTGCCGTCAGCTGGGGGCTACCACTGTCTCTCACGTGCACATGAAAATGGAAATGGGCGATGGTTTCATGGTCCAGGTTCGCGATTGTTCTGATTGCACCCGTGCTGGAGTCCACTGTGAAGAACTTCTTGGCCGTGGACTCAACGATCTGATACACAAGCAGAGCATTGCGATTGCTGTCGGCGTCGGTGGCTCGAATCACCAGCGGGCTGTTGTGCAAGCTCCTGACGATGCTATTGATGGGGGCTGCCTCACTTAGGCTACCCGAATACTGAGAAAAGAGAAAAACTGGTGCATTATCGTTTTCATCAACAACCTGAATATTGACTGTGATGTTGGAAGCCATTCCTGCCATGTTCGTGGCCTGGACAATGAGTTGATAAGAGGAGGTATGCTCGTAATCCAGTGCCTTGCGTGTGGTGATGACTCCAGAATAGGGATTTATGGTGAAAACCCCATCAACGTTTCCATCTTTGACTTCATAAATGAGGGTGGATTGACTGATGGCAGAGATTAGAATGACTGATGTTCCAATATCAACATTTTCATTTACTTCTGCTTGGTAGTCTTTGTGAGTGAACTTGGGGTGAGAATTATCAGACATGGTGACAGAAATTCGCACAATCGCGGTGGCAGACATCGGCGGGGAACCCTGATCCGTGACTTTGACTGACAGGACAAACTGACCCATTGTTGTCATGTCTGGCTCTTTAGAAACAGTGATGATGCCCAGGACTGGTTCTATCTTAAATGTGTTCCCAGTGTTCCCTACAACAGAAAAATCAACAGGGAAATGAGTTCAAGTGGGTCATTTTCTGAAGATTAACTCTTCATCTTAAGGCTACTTTACACAACATGGCAAACAGCAATTATTCATTTTCACTCCTCCTCATTCTGAAATAAAACGAGAGACTTCCCTTTTAGGGGTATTCAAAAGCAACTGAAATGAGTTTTCCAGTAAATTGTGAATTTCAGATCAGTATCTTCTTAATTCAGGTTAACAAGAACAACAACACAGCTCTGTGTACATTCAAACTGGGAAACAGGAGAGTTTGTAGGAAAGACTTTCCTGCTTAGGATTTTCTTATTTCCAGACTGGGCTGGCACATGCCAATGACACTGATAAAAAGGCATTTATCCTGAAACCAGTGCCATAATTCTGTGTTCTACATTATAAGAAAGAGGGTTGTAGGGATTTCCCTGGTGGTGCAATGGTTAAGAATCCGCCTGCCAATGCAGGGGATACAGGTTCAATCCCTGGTCCGGGAAGATCCCACATGCTGCGGAGCAACTAAGCCCATGCGCCACAACTACTGAGCCTGTGCTCTAAAGCCCGCAAGCCACAACTACTGAGCCCACGTGCCACAACTACTGAAGCCGATGCACTTAGAGCCCATGCTCTGCAACAAGAGAAGCCACTGCAGTGAGAAGTCCACGCACCGCAACAAAGAGTAGTCCCCGCTCGCCACAACTAGACAAAGCCCACACGCAGCAATGAAGACCCAACGCAGCCAAAAATAAATAAATAAATTTAAAAAAATTTAAAAAGGAAGAGGGTTGTAGGAATCGCTTCAGAACATTATCATATAGTCATTCGGTTTAAGACTCTCCCAAAGGTAAGCTTTGCTATGTGGAGTTGGTATAGTTTCATACATATCATCAAAACCAACTTCATTCCAAACACTGCCTGGTGACGGGGGTTTGCTCAGGTATGGAGAATTCTTCTCAAGTCACCATTTGCTTTGTAAGCTGTGAGAATCTTTTCTGACTCTCCTTCTATTCTTCACTTCCCTACACCCCAACACACAAAATGTATAATGGTTCCATCTGTAACCATTCTAGTTGCTCAATATTTGAGACGTTTCTGATGAAATAAGAAAGTGTTAGAAATCTGAAGCAGCACAGAAACCAAGAACTTGAGCATAATCCTTATGAAACGAAGAAACCGGCACCCCACTTTGACAAACCTGAAATGGGAAGGGCTGTGAACCGTGACACTGTGGAAAAGAGGAGGAGAGAATGGGGAACACAAAACTTGAAGAATGTAAAGAATGTGTCTCACAGGGAGTGAACAGTGGGAAGCAGCATCCTTCACCATGTTACTTTTTGCTTCTCTCATGAGGCTTTCCCATGCTTCTCAAAGAACACATGCTTGTGTGTCTAGATTTCTTTACATCACAAGTTAAAAGTTTGGTTATTCAATTATATCTGAATTTTTCTTTCTTTTTGAAGTGCTATAGTATGGCAACAAACAGAGACTTGAAATGTCTTATTATTAAGATAGGCTCCAGGATTGAGAGCGCAGTTAGATAATGTGTTTGAAATATACAACACATACAGCTATTTGCACACTTCTTACTACATACTTATTACTTAAACTTTTCCATGTCTGAAAACAAAACTGTCATGTTTGTATAAAATCTATTTCTATAAGATGCTTGCCTATTTCTCAAGAGGGAGCAAGTCCAACAAAAAGATAAAGAATTTGATTCTAGACCCCAAATATGAATATTAAACAAAATTATCTTTGACGTCAGCATGATTTTTTACTTTGCCACCTGAACATGACCATTTCGTGGTGACAACAAGAAGGTCAATGAATTCATGAACAAACTTGCAAATTTTCAATAAATAGCACCGTGGAATTACGTGTGATTCCAACATTCGATTCATAGAGCCTCACAAGGAGGCAGGAATCATTTCACGTTAGCATCTCAGGGGAGGAAAATATAGAGATACCTGAGTAATGGTCACCTTCCAGCAGTGGCAACACATGCAACCCTGAATGATGAATGCCACATCCCCATTATGGTGTCCCACGTGGAGTTTCAAGGTGAGTCCTTTCTTACTCCAGGCTCGTACATACACAGCAAGATATATATGGCAGGGATGAAGGAAGGCCAGCTTCCGACCTTGAGGAGAGCTTCCCCATCCCGCTGTTCCATGGCTGCTGACCTGCTTGTTACCCCCTTCCAGGATGCTGTGCTCATATGTCAGGTCCAAATGGGCTCTTTGCCTCTTTCCCTCTCCAATGCACTGTCCCATTTTCTTAGAATCCACTTCCTGCTTATTCTCTTCTTCTGTACTTAAATCTTTGGAAGCTAATCTCTGCTTGCTTTCTTGGAATCTATGACTTCTTATAGACTTTTGGCAACTGGGCAAAAGCTGTGCTGACCTTACTTATCATTATTAATCTGGTATACAGCACAGTGCCTGGCACAAATAAAAGGTGCTCAATAAATATTTGTTGAATGATTGAGAGAGGTAGATCAAAAAAGATGTTTAAGTCTCTATCTGTATATATCTTGGGGTCCAATATGCCCCCATCCTAACTCAACACTTTCTTAGTCCTGGTCTCTCCTGTACTGCCCTGTCTCTGAGCCACCCATGAACCACTGTTGGCACCAAACCTGAACTAAATATAAGACTCGAAGTTCTGCACTTGAATTCCACCTCAGTCTTTCGGGCCAAAATGAAAAGGTTCAGTAGTTGCTTTAGGCCAGACAGGGGATAGGAAATGTATGGCCCACCAGTAAACAGAGTAAAATCTTGCTTCTCTGAGGTTTTTGAGAGCACTTAAATAAAACATATACTTTACACCAACCTCTTGTTATTTGATTCAAAGTCCTGAACTGTCTGGGATCTGCTTGTATCCTACCATGATCCGTGAAGAAACTTGACTTAACTAAAACCAGTCCAGGTCAAGTGTAGGTCTGTCTGTCCTGTAATTCTCATTAGCTTTTTACACATCCAATCAAAGGATACTTTTTGAGATACCAAGCATTCCTGTGGGTTTTCTGGAAACTCGACTTTTCTATATAAAAGATGTTTTAAGGAAATAACTTTTCTCTCTAGTTTTAGCCAACTGTTGAAGAAATGACTGAGTCCTTTCTCTATGTTCAGCACCCGGCTATAGTCTGTGGAAGCTGAAAGATAAGCGAGGCAGAATTTTCAGCTTTATGGTAAATTACTCTTAAATTACTCTGAGAACCTCCAAATTGGTTTCAAAATGTCTGGCTATCTGAGAGGAGTATATGTAGTAGCCTTCATGACAAATATAAAAAGCAAGTACACACGCAGACAAATGCTTAGAAGATGTTAAGAAAAGTAGAAATGAAACCCTATATCAAAATGATTACAATGTCATGAAACAATGTATATGCATGAATGAATTACGAGAAAAGGAAAAATACACAAGATTAGGGGAAAACTATAGAACGGACATAAAGAGTTCTTGGGTTAGGTGACATTTCCTGTGGCAATATTTAAATATATGTATTTTAAAGTTTCCCTATATTATTTGTGAAGCTAAAAGAACAAGGACTGTGTAATGAAATAATTAAAATATCCTCTGACAAACAAGAGATGAAAAATAGCGTTTATAAAAAGAGTACTGTCAGGCTTTAGGCTAAAAGGAAATTCCATGGAAATCTGGAAAAGAAAGGGGTGAATTCTCTTGGGGTACCTGGCTGTTCTGAACCAACATCTTTTCTTCTTTTTTGGTATAGAGTTTAGCACAGACTCATGTAAAATGTAGGTGCCTAATAAAGGAAATAGATTTAGATTGTCATTAAATACAGGGGCTACTTTTAAAGAAAGTCATTGGCTTTTTTTCTAATATTTTTTAGGCCAGAACTGTCATTCTAGCATTCATATTTTAATTCAACCACTCACAAAAATGCTCCGTATTTACATCAAGGGAAAGAAGCCTCTCCAGTGCTGGCATGAAAGGAAACAGCATTTGGCATCATGCACGACAGACATAATGTTGCAGAATGTTTTGGGAATATGAGGCTTGAATATTCAAAAAAGACAGAACAGGGGAAGGGAAAATAGAGCACATAAAGGATATTTGTAATTTTTAGGCTCACAGTCCTGTCTTTGCTTGGACGTTCATCTCTTCTGTCATAAATGTTTTCTAACTGTCCAACTGCAAACCATCAGGAAACTACGGTCTTGCTTTCTAGATACTAAAATTGATTTTTTAAAAAAATCTCAAATTTAACAACACGAGAATCTGCATTTATTTATCTGTCAGGTTAAGCAAGCAGTTCAGTACCTACCAACTCCTCTGCTACTCAGATCACCTCCAATGAAGTGAGTTTGTGCTAAACCTAACCCTAACCCTAGGAATTTCTGAAGCCCACAGCCCACAGCTCACCTACTGACAAGTAAGCATTGACCTTTAAGATTCAATCCACCGAACTCTCTGGCAGCCCTCAAATGACGGGAGGCTTTGGTTATTTTAGTCTGAGGCCAAGGCTTGTTGACCCATCAGTAAAAGCCACCGCGTTTATTACACATTCTTTTCTCTTCTCCATTCCAGAAAAATCTGAGATTGAACACAGTAAAAGGAAACTCCTTCTTCGCTGTCAATGATGGAAAACATCTTACTGAAATGCCAAGAACCTGATACACCATCGTTGTGCGAATAGGGCAGTTGCTTGGCCAAAAAATTCATCTGGAGACATCCCAGTGGTAACTATGTGAATTTTACATGGTGATAAATACTACCGAGGGTCCAATGCCACGCATGACCCTGCAATCTGCACCAGCTCTCACCTGCTTCTATGGTATATATGAGTTCTGCATTTTCCCCTTTGTCTTTGTCCAGAGCCGTCACTTGCAGTACAGCTGATCCCAGAGCAGCCGATTCGAACACAGATGCCTCATACAGCGGGTTGGTAAAATAGGGGCTGTGATCATTAGCATCTTCCACGTTCACAATGACTCGGGCCAAGTTTCTTCGATAAGGAAACTCCTGATCTCTGACCTTTAGGCAAAATATAAGAAGCAGTAGGACTAAAATCTTTAAGTTGCAAAGAATTCACCTGGCTGTGCCTGAAGTGAAATCAAAATGAAATAATGCACAAAAACCGCCGGACCCAGCCCCAGGCCCAGAGAAGGTATTCAGTAAGCAGTGCTATTATAGAGCGAGGATGCTGATTGTGAACACAGTGAGAGCGGGGGCCACGCTGTCTTTATGGCTCAGCATTACGCCTGGCCTCTGGTCTGTGTTCAGTCTGTGCTTGTAGAACTGATGTCAGGATATCGCAAACACAGCACTTTCCTCTGCCCCCCCCCTCACCCTCCACCCCCCGGAATTTGTGTATACAGTTGCTAATGGAATGGTGGATGGAGGCCCTTGTAAAGGGGAAACTAAAATGTGGAATGTAGCCACTGTCATTCATTCATTCACTCAACAAACCTTTATTATCATCTATTATCTACCAAGTCCTGGGATTGACTCTTGTGGTTCAGCGGTAGAAGAGATACAGTCCCTGACCTCAAGAACCTTATAGTTGACTGGGGAATCCAAACAAATAAGTAGAAAGATACAAGACCCAGAGGTAAGTGCCAGAATATTAGTAATTAGTAAGGATGTTAGCCTAGCTTGGAAAAGGTAACAAAACCAAGTAGAAGTAGTAAAGTGCTGGGGGGCAGGGTGCGTGGCATATATTTCAGGCAAGAAGGACCAACATGAATAAAGTCCCAGAACTAAGAGAGAACGCTGACCACTGGGAAGATGAACCAAATCTTAATTTTTGAAATGTGAGACCCCAGCACTGTGAAATCACCGAAGAACTTTGCCTGATTGCTTTAAAGTTTTCCCTGGTTTGCATATGGCAGAAGCTTGCAACTAATCAATTCTTTAACTCTAACACATGATTTTGCTATCATTGTATGTAGCATTAATCCAATGTGTGCTTTTTGCTTGTTCAATTTTAGATCCCCTAACTTCAGAGAGATTTGAAGAAATTAGAAAATATACCAAGAAAAGCTATCAAAGGGAAAGGGTTTTTCAGAAATATTAACCTAAAAGGAATTGAGCAAAATGACTATAAGGGCTTAGCTTGGAGAAAGGCAGCATAAAGGAGTTGTCTGCTCTAAATATTCAATTACATAAATGATAAATGATACAGGGTAAGTGCACTGAATTCTAAGTTTGTTAAGGAAAGAATGAACAGAAATGGCTTGAAGAAATCGTGAGAATAGAGTTAGTCACTGGCAGTAGAGTTCTGCTCCTGAAGAGATATATGCAAAAGCTAGCTGGTGAGTGTGATGAGTTTCCCTGTCTGTAGACCAGCCTGCCCCACCCAAGGACCAAACTTGACTCTGTACTTTGGGATTATTGAAATCTAGGTCTGTTCCAATCGAATGTCCAAAGGTGCAGGGACTTTGTCTCTTTTATATCCTCGGTGCCTAGAACAGAATTTAGTATACAGTAGGTGCTTGAGAAATATCTGTTGAATGAATGAATGAACGGCCAGAGGGATGGATCTGATGAACCCTGAGTCCCTCTTCCGTTCCCTGGAGTCTCATCTGGAAACCATAGCCAAAGGCATGGAACTCTAGTTTCTTCTTGCCCAGAGACTTGGAAAGGAAGAGTAGTACTTAGTGGAACAGTACTTCAGCTGCTTGGGAATTGGTAGCATCTTAGTGTATTTTAAAGCCAATCAGTACAAAGATTACATCTCCGCCATCCTACCTGGTCTTAAGGAACTCAGGGGGGCCCTGTTAGGTAGTGGCTGTACAATTGTCCATAGGGTTCTTGGATAGTTAAAGGGACAGGTTTTAGGTCATAAACAAGGGTGTTTATTACTAATCTTTACTTCCCAATTATGTAAACTAGCCAAACTTTGTTTTAAAATGAAAGCATCTTCTACATAATTTGGAGACCCCATGAACCCAAATTCAACATTCTCTGTAGGCTTTGGTGAGTTTTGAGATCTCTTTTGTGGGCCAGTATTTACCACTAGGTCCAATGCCAGTGCAATAAGTAATCAATCAGTTCTCTGAATGCTTCCAAGGACTGAGCATTATACAGGTTGATAAATGATTACCCTTGTAATTAACTTCTCAAGGAACTTCTTTTAAACTTTTCCACAAAATCTTCTGGATGTGAACCAGTACAGAAACACGGCCTGTTCCTTCCTGCTCAAATCAGGCTGTCAGCAGCCTTTACTGAGCGGCCACTGTCTGTAGAGCTCATCTAATATTTCAGTTTGGCAAACATATGGAGTCACTATCTAACAATAGTAATTCCTCACTGAACTAAAAAGGCAAGAATGAATGCAACCCTGTGGTTGAAAAGACCAAATTTACTACTACTTACAAAATTCAAGGGCCCTGTACATCTGAAGGCTAAGGCATGTGCCTTGGATGGTCAGTGATTCTGCTAGGAGAGCATATTAAGCAGTTTGGTCCTACCATTATGTTGAGTATGTGCTTGTCCTGGGCTTCGTGGTCCAGCCTCTCGGCTGTGTAGAGCACGCCAGTGCTGGGGTCAATCCGGAACTTCCTCATGCTGACAGAATCTATGCTGCTGTGGACAGTATAACTTAGCTTGTGCTTCTCATCTCTGTCTGTGGCTTCAATCTGCAATATCTCGGTATCTGGAAGCACATCCTCGGAAATTGTCACATCGTAATTTGGCTGAGAGAATTCTGGGCCATTATCATTATTATCCAGCACTTTGATAAATACCTATAGTTAAAAGGAGACAAGAGTGATGACTAATGCCAATTTACTCATTTCTAGTAAAAGAGGCTCCCTCCTTCTCTCCTCCCTCTATGTTCCTGGATCCCAGCTTCTAGCAACTACTTTAATATGTAGGAAGATTCTTATGAAAGCACTCTGTAATTAGAGGTTGACGATAAACCCGTAGTTCACATTAGCAGGAACATAAACTATGAGGATCAATATTCTCACGATTAAGTGAACAGATGAGACAGCCTCTGGGGTGGGGGGTGATAATTCGAGGAGATTATTTGAGGCACAATGTAAGAGATCACAAGGTGACCTTAGTTTGTTAAGTTCCTATTATCTTACATTCTTGTTATGTGCTTCTTATAGTAGACCTAATGTGGAGGCAGTGACAAGATAAGTAACAAAGAGGCAGAGGAAAGGGAGGTGTGAATACAGAGGTGGCTCTCCTTCAGATGGGAGGTGTCTAGCAAAGAACATGGTACTAATGATAGTTAAAATATGAAGTTCCCAAGTTGTTTCAAAATTTTTCAGGCAGATTTTATAAAAGTAATAGCTTAATTAACCCTGAATATTCATCACTCAGCTTTGATAATGATCAATTCATGGCTAACCTTGTTTCATCTTTATGCCCATTCATCTCCACCTGCTCCCTCATATTATTTTGAAGCAAGTCCCAGACATCATATAATTTCAGTGTACATCTCTAAAAGATAGGGACTCAAAATAAACACACACATACACACAATACCACTACTGCATCTAAACAGAGAAAACAGGAATTCCTTAATGTCTTTAAATATTCAGTTGGTGTTCATACTTCTGTAATTGTTTTGTAATGAGTTATATATGTTTGCGTACATGTGCATATATATTTTCAGTTTCTTTTAACCAGGATATGCAAATAAGGCACAGACATTGCATTTGATTGACATTTCCTTTAATTATCTTTTAATTTGTAGGTTCTCCCTCTATCTTCATCGATTTCCTAGCAATTTTTATGTTGTTATTGTTGGCAATCAAAAAATTGAGCCCTTTCCTCTTTAGTTCCCACAGTCTGAATTTTGCTTATTGTATCCCCATGGTTTTGTTCTACATGTTCCTCTGTCCCGTGTATTTCTTATAACTTGGTAGTTTTATGTAGGAGACAATAAAATTCACATTCAATTTCCTTCTTTTTTTCTTGACAAAAATCTTTTATGGGTGATATATTTCCATCTGGAGAAACATAATGTCTAGTTCTCTATCTTGTTCCATGATATTAGCAGCCATTGATGATCATGATATAGATAATATTAATTCATTAAAAATACAAAACAGTAGTGTTTTAATTCTATGATTTCTTCCCCACTTATTAGCTAGAATAGTTCTAAAAAGAAAGTTTTCTTCAATTATTTGGTTACTCTGAAGTACACTTCATGTTGAAAAGGAAGGAAAATTCTTTTCGTTGATCATTTCAAAATAATGAGTTGGTTCTTCAGCTCCTCCCAAAGTGATCAATAAGGTATTTTTTTTCAGGCATCATTAGGAGCTCATGAATTTAGTCACATCTGATGTGTTTCTGTCCACTGCAGTTACTATATTTATTGATGCACAAATGGTCCTTCCTTGGCCATGGGGAGCCTCTTCAAGTTGGCTTCTGTAATGTTCTGACACAACCCAAGTAGTCTTTGATAGCTTCCTTGCTTTCCAATAATTGCTGCTGGTAATTTTTTCAGGGTCATCTTGTACATATTTTCTGCCCCAGTCTTGAATTATCCATTTCTCCAAGAAGTGTTGGTTTCTTTTTAGTTAGAAGTGGCATTTAGAGACCACAGTCTGGTGCTAGGAATGCTTATTGCTGCTAGCTTTGCTAGTTTTTCAGTGGACAGAGTCAGGAAAGTGTTTTGTTTTAAACAATTATTTCATGAGTTCATATTGATACTACCAATTCAAAATTAAGTTGTCAACAACCCTGTCTATCAGTGGCATGGCACCAGCCCTGGGACACCCCACATCATGTGGCCAGCTGCACTGGGATCCAGCCCCATCCACTGTGGGACAGCAGCCACTGCATGTGGCAGGGTCTGGCAGCCAATTGAGCTGAGAGCCTACCAGCACATCCATAGTAGTTGACCTTGCCACAACAAAAGACCTCATACAGCCCACATAGGAGGCACCACTAGAACATATAGCCCTGGTGACAAGAGGGTAGTGTGCAGCTGGGCTGCATAGGATGTCTCCTACACAAGGCTACTTCTCCAAGACCAGGAAACATAACTGAACTACCTGATACATAAAACAAACACAGAAAATAAGGTAAAATGAGGAGACAGAGTAATATGTCCTAAATGAAAGAACAAGACCAAACCCCAGAAGAAGAACTAAGCATAGGAGAGATGAGCAATCTACTCCCATAGAATTTAAGAGGATGATCATAAAGATGCTTAACGAGCTTGGGGAAAGAATGGATGAGCAGAGTCATAAGTTTTAACAAAGAGTTAGAAAATATGAAGAAAAACCAAACAGAGCTGAGGAACATGATAACTGAAGTAAAGAAATACTCTAGAAGAAGTCAACAGTAGATTAGATGATACAGAGTAAAGGATCAGTGAACTAGAAGACAGAGTAGTGGAAATCCCAAGCTAAACAGAAAACGACAAAAAAAAGAATTACAAAAAATGAGAATAATTTAAGAGACCTCTAGGCCAACATCAAGCACACTAACAAGCACACTAAAGGTCCCAGAAGGAGAATAGAGAGAGAAAGGGGCAGAGAGCATACTTGAAGATATACTAGCTGAAAATTTTCCTAACCTGGGAAAGGAAACAGACATCTAGGCCCAGGAAGTATAGAGAGTCCACGCCAAGACAAATAATAATAAAAATGTCAAAAATTAAAGATACTCATCCTTTTTTATCATTTTTATTTTTTATAATTTATTTTTTAAATATTTATTTATTTGGCTGCACGAGTCTTAGTTGCAGCATGCAGGATCTTTCATTGTGGTGCACGGGCTCCAGAGCGCTCGGGCTTAGTTGCCCTGTGGCATGTGGGATCTTAGATCCCTGACCAGGGATTCAACTCACATCCCCTGCATTGGAAGGCAGATTCTTAACCACTGGACCACCAGGGAAGTCCCAAGAGAGATCCTTAAAAGCAGCGAGAGAAAAGCAACTAGTTATAAACAAGGGACTCCCATAAGACTCTCAGCTGACTTTTCAGCAGAATATTTGCAGGCCAGAAGGAAATGGCATAATATATCCAAGTGCTGAAAGGGAAAAAAGCCTACATCCAAAAATAATCTATCTGGTAAGGATATCATTCAGAACTGAAGGAGAGATAAAGAGTTTTAAAGACAGGCAAAAGCTAAAGGAGTTCATCACCACTAAAGCAACCTTACAGGAAATATTAAAGGGATTTCTCTAAGTGGAAAAGAAAAGGCCACAAATAGAAATTTAAAAAATTATGATGGGAAAAATCTCACTGGTAAAGGCAAAATATAGTAAAGGTAGTGGACTAAGCACTTATAAAGCTAGTAGGAAGGTGAAAAGACAAAAACAGTAAAATCATCTTTATCTATAATAAGTAGATAAGGAATATACAGAATAAAAAGATGTAAAATATGTTGTCAAAAACATAAAATGTGGGGCGAAAGGAGTAAAAATGTGGGGCTGTTAGAATGCATTTAAACTTAAGAAATCATCAACTTAAAATAGACACCCATACATATTAGATGTTATATATGAATCTCAGGGTAACCACAAATCAAAAACCTCTAATAGACACAAAAAAATAAAGAGAAAAGAATCCAAATGAACACTAAAGATAGTCATCAAATCACAAGGGAAGATTGCAAGAGAATAAAAGGAACAAAGGAGAACTACAAAAACAATCAGAAAACAATTAACAAAATGGCAATAAGTACATATCCATCAATAATTACTTTAAATGGAAATGGACTAAATGTTCCAACAAAAGACATAGAGTGACTGAATGGATAAAAAAGAAAACAAGACCTACATATATGCTGCCTACAAGAGACTCATTTCAGATCTAGAGACACGTACAGACTGAAAGTGAGAGAATGGGAACAGGTACTCCATGCAAATGGAAATCAAAAGAAAGCTGGAGTAGCAATACTTAGGCAAAATAGACTTTAAAACAAAGACTGTAACAAGGGACAAAGAAGGGTATTACATAATGTTAAAGGGATCAATCCAACAAGAAGATATAACAATTGTAAATATATATTTACTCAACATAGGCACACATAAATACATATAGCAAATATTAACAACATAAAGGGAGAAAATAACAGTAATACAATAATTGTAGGGAACTTTAACACTCCACGTATGCCAATGGACAGATCATCTAGACAGAAAATCAATAAGGAAACATTGGCCTTAAATGACACATTAACCACATGGACTTAATTGATTGATATATATATATATATATTTATATATGTATGTGTATATATATATATATATATATAATATATAGAACGTTACATTCAAAAGCAGCAGAATACACATTCTTTTCAGACACACATGGAACATTCTCCAGCAGAGATCACGTGCTAGGCCACAAAACAAATCTCAACAACTTTAAGACTATTGAAATCATATCAAGCATCTTTTCCAACCACCACATTATGAGACTAGAAATCAACCTCAAGAAAAAAACTGCAAAAAACACAGATGTAGAAGTTAAACAATATGCTACTAAACAACCAATGGGTCACTGAGGAAATCAAAGAAGAAATTAAAAAAATACCTGGAGACAAATGAAAATGGAAACACAATGACCCAAAATTTATGGGATGCAGCCAAAGCAATTCTAAGAGGGAAGTATAATGATGTAAGCCTACCTCAGGAAACAAGAAAAACCTTTAGCCAGACTCATCAAAAAGAAAAGGGAGAGGGCCCAAACAGATAAAATTAAAAATGAAAGAGATGTTACAACCGATACCACAGAAATGCAAAGGATCATAAGATATTACTATGACAAATTTT